TGTCCAATAATTTTACTACTGTGTAGATAGTCATCAATAATGCATGGGTATGTACCACTATAGGCATATATAATAATATCCAGGGAGAGTACACTTTAAAAACCAAAAGACTAGAAATAACCCATTCATTTGTCCACTGGCAAATGAATGCACTGTGATATAGTAAATGAAATACTATCCAGCAATAAAAATGAATGAACTGAAGTGCACATAAAAATAGGAATGAATCTCATAAATTAATTTAGGTGAAGGAAGCCAGATATAAAAGAATTTATGCTGTATCATTCCATTTATAGAAAGTTTAAAACCAGGCAACACTAAACTGTGGTATTTGAGGTCAGGATGTGGGGTAGAGATTGGGTGGGAAAATGCGAGGAGCTGAAGGTGTGCTGGTAGCATTCCATGTATTGACTGGGTTGGGGTGATGTGGGATGTTCACTCTGTGATAATCCATGGAGCTGGATGCTTACGATTAGCGTACTTTTTTTTTCCGGTATAGTTTTTAGTGATTAGCGTACTTTTTAATGAAAAATGTAAAGTGTCTTTTTGGCTTATTGATTCTATGCTGTCAAATTACAAAACAGCATACAAAAAGTAAACAAAAACATGCCAAAAAGTGCTCTCTGATTTTTAGAACTTCTCAGAGCCAAGAGAACACTACAAAGTACAGAAAATACGATGATTTTTAATGATCCTATAAATTTAAAAGTTCTCCACATGTTTAAATATAGCATTTCAAATAAGATCACTGCAAAGGAGCAAATTTTTTTTCAATACGAAACTAAATACTTGGGCTTCCCTGGTGGCGCAGTGGTTGAGAGTCCGCCTGCCGATGCAGGGGACACGGGTTCGTGCCCCGGTCCGGGAGGATCCCGCGTGCCGCGGAGCGGCTGGACCCGTGAGCCATGGCCGCTGAGCCTGCGCGTCCGGAGCTTGTGCTCCGCAATGGGAGAGGCCACAGCAGTGAGAGGCCAGCGTACCGCAAGAAAACAAAACAAAACAAAAACAAAAAAAAAACAACAAAAAAAACTAAATATTTATCCTCTGACTTCAATATCCTCCTATTAGAATGAGGTACAGAAGGCTTAAGGGAAGCTAGGCACAAGAATGATACATACATCTAGGCAGAAACTACCAAAGATGAACATATAACCATACATTAAGAACTATAAATAATCTTTTTTTTAAAAGTCACTGCTTTTGTACTATATAACCTATTCACAGCTAGTCTTTGACCTTCTTATGGCTGTTCCTAATTGTCACCTCAGGCATGGTTCTATTTCTGGAAGGAAACAGGGATTCTCCAGATGCTCACTTTAACATAAACAGGAAATTGCAGATGGGTGTCATTGAAAGCACTGTATTCTTAATAAGTAGTACTATGGAGATGAGGCAAACTGACATTTTTATATGTGTACATCCTCAGTTCTCTAAATTCATTGCATATTCCATATACATTATGCTATTTTTATGGCTATCTTCCTTTAAATCTTCTCCCATAAGGTTGTCGCTGAAAAACTCTTTAAAATCGTCTTCATCAACTTTCTTCGCTAGCAATTCAATGTTTCAACATAATTTTGTACTAATTCAGAGGAAGGTTCAGATTCAAAATTTTATTAATCCAATATTAATCATCTTTCTTGGGATAAAAAAATGGACACACATGGACAAAAGTTATTCAGGGATAATTCAAGGGTTATTCTAATTTAACTAGTTACTGTGGGTTACCTAATTATATGCTAACTTTTTGGATTCCCTAAGTCTAAAAGAAAGGAGGCCAAAAGAATACCCAAGAAGATTTTAGTGGCACACAGGCTAGTTGATAGCATGTATTCCCCTCCCTGACTGCAAAAATTGCCAATTATCGAACAATAGAAACAACCCAAATATCCATCAGCAAGAGAGTGGATCAATTCTGGTGTATTAAATGGAATACTATACAGCAATAAAAAGGAATGGCTCAAGCTACACATAAAAATAGGAATGAGGGCTTCCCTGGTGGCACAGTGGTTGAGAGTCCGCCTGCCGATGCAGGGGACACGGGTTCGTGCCCCGGTCCGGGAAGATCCCACATGCCACGGAGCGGCTGGGCCCATGAGCCATGGCTGCTGGGCCTGCGCATCCGGAGCCTGTGCTCCGCAACGGGAGAGGCCACAACAGGGAGAGGCCCGTGTACCGCAAAAAAAAAAAAAAAAAAGGAATGAATCTCAGAAGCTTCTAAGCCAACAACAACCCCTTGAGAAGAGTTCCCAAGTTAATCCACCACTTTCCAAAGGCTAGAATATCCCACTGAGAATTTGCATGATCAGTAAGATTTTATAATTTCAAAAAATTTTAAAGGCAATTCTTAAAAAAATCACTATATTTAATTTTGTGTAGCTATAAGAGCAAGGAATAAGATTGAATAGGCTACACGTTTTCAATTCTGGGGACAAAAAACAAAGCAAAATCAAATATCTACAAGATTCAAGAGCCCCCTCATGTTGTCTGAAAGAGTTGCCATCGACATGATCCTATACCCGTTATGTGTCTTACACTGAGATTCAGAAAAGAAGGTCTATGTCATTGAAAAAATCAGAGAAACATCTAGGAAATATTCTATATACTTAAAAATAAAGATATATCATATCCATTACTTTAGTATAGTTGTTTAAATCAGTGGCTTTTGGGTTCCATAAGATATGTCCAGAGAAGCTAAGAAAAAAAGGCATGATCAGGGGAGGTTTGCTTAGTATGTGTTAGCACCAGGTCTTGCCCCAAACAAAACAAGGCTTAGACTCTGGGGCCAAAGGCAAAGAAACACACAAATAGTACAAAAAAAAATAATCCCTAAAGTAAGATAATCATGTCATCAAAAAGCTCTGAAACACTGGTTTTAAAAGTTTTCTTCAAATTAATTGGAAATGAAACCAATATATTAGAAACAGGTTACAACAAGCACAACATACGGATGCATTCATGTCACTCTAAAGTTAACTAGCCACTTCTTAGTAACATATCAGTATATCACTGCAGAAAATGTTGCTTTGCAAACAAAGGACACTGATCTCACCTGATTTCATTTTCATACTGTGGGGACAGTCTACCTGAATTCTGGTAAAAGCTTTTCAGGAAAGAGGGGGCAGTGACGGAAGGGGCAGAGAAGGAAGTGTGAAGACTTGGAAGACTGGAGGAAGAATTACTCTCCTTGTGCATGCGCCGAACTGATGAAAAGATGCTGGGTACAGAAAATACAGCAAATTCGTCTTAATTTACATTTTGGCACAATCTTCATTCACTATGAAATAGCATATACACAGGTTCTCGCTATTAATGTAATCAGGGCTGAATTTATATGGAAAAAAACTTATATGCATGCAGTTCTCTATTAGATGACTATGACCTAGTTCATTGTCCACAAACCGAATTCCTCATCTATGCAGCGTGTCTAAGCATATGTGTTTGTCTCTAAAAAGCTCTTAACAATTTTAGGACAAAAAGTGTTTGTTTTGACACGCAAAAGATACTTCAAGGGGGAAAAGTAGGAAAGCACAAATAATTACAGGAAACAAGTTCCAGAAGGAAAAACTGATTATCAGTAGTTCAAAGACTTAATTATTTTAAAGATATAAACCCTTCTAAAAATTTAAGAACAACATGTTTGGTTGTTGGAAGTCATCATAATCATAATACCTTTGGCTTAACAAACGTTAATGTCCACGTTCTTTTCTTGCAGCCTGTGGAATTGTGCAGCCATGGTTTTATCTGAATCCCTAAATCTACAAAGTTTTTTTTCCAGAAGATTCTTTTCATAGCAAGTTTTTACCATGATATAAATAGCATCTTTTCATATTGACAGAAATTCTTTGAGCATATACTTTATGAAATGTGGAAAACATAAGGAAAAACAGACATCATTAATAGTTTAAAATAATTAATGTTTTAAATTCTTGAAAATAATTTTTCCTGGAAAAAGAGACTTAATGTCTTGGGTAAATATAAATGATCATTAAAAATTTTCATATATACATGAATACTTAATCCTTTTTCATAAAAGAAAATCTGAGGATAATTAGTTCTATTAATTTACTTTATTTTTATATATCCTAAATATTTTATTTTTTAATATCAAATTATTCAAAAAACAACAATCAGCATTCAATTGCATCCTTAAAAGAAATGCTGGTAAATTTGATAACAACTAATATAAAAATTAATCTTCTTTTTACTTAGAGTGCTGTTTGTTTGGTTTTTTTTCTCTCTGACTGGAACCCCTATCAGACCGTTTCCTGAACCAAACTCATAGGTAACAAAGAAAAACAAAATTAGTTCTAGGATATAAATTCTGATTTGTACTACACGGTAAGAAGTATAATCATTCTACAATTCCAAATTTACCCCCTTTATTATCTCTTACCAAATGCCAAATGATTTCGTTAAATATTTTTTAAATACCATGCAAGATAGTTTCTAACGGATACCTCCTGTCAATTATGGTATATGTATTCTTCTTTGTAAACATCATTTTCTTCTAGATAAAATTTTTAACAATTTTCACATTTGGCTTTAATTTATTATGAAATAAAACACAGCCAATTTTTATCTCATGTATAAAAGTAATGTAGGTGATTTTTTTAACCCCTGTGCTTACAGGAAGTTCTGCTATGTTATTTGCAAATTTGCTGACTGTTTCATGAAAGCCATCGTCAAAGAGACACTGAGGAACATGCGTTGTCAGAGGTTTTTCAGACAAAACAACTGCCTGATATCTTGTTTTCTCCATTTTTCTGGGGAAAAAAATATATATATTTCCATCCAAAATGCTTTAACTCTTCTCTTTCCGGGTGCCTTAAAGCTTGCCTGTTTCCCTTAGTAACGAAGGTTTTTATAATTCCATTTATTTTTCTGAAAACTAAATGTTGGCTACAGCATGAAGTCACAATAACTCTTGACTCCACGGTGGTCAGAAGAGAGTGACAGGAGAATTTTGTTCCAGCTTCTGGAGAGAGGTTTGGACTCACCTGCACTGTTCGCTGGAGCTATGCCTCAGAAGAGGGGAGCGAAGCCCGTGAGCCTTCCCATCCTGTAAATTCAGCTTTCTCTTCGTGCTGGAAGGTGGGTGGCTGAACGTGTGGGCCCGTCTTCGAAACTGCGGGGAGTCGGAATCCTCTTCAGGGAACGTCTGCCAAGCTGAGGACAGTGGGGAAGCTGGTGGGGTCCCTGGCGGGGAGTCTCCTGGGGAGCAGTCCTGAAACGCAAGAAGCCAGGCCTTTCTTTCCTACACCGATCATGGCAGACCTGCTCAGAAGCAGAGCTCAACCGTGACAGGGTGCCTCTTCTTCCTCCTGAGTCATGACAAACTGTTGGAGGTTTTTTTTGTTTTTTGTTTTTTTTACTCAATCCATGCTGAAGGCTGATCACTATCGCCACAACCCATTTCTTCTGATAAGCAGCTGTAAGACAGCATCCGTAAAGGTAGGCCAGAAAGTGAAAGGGGTGATAAGAAGAGGTATTCTTTCCCCTAACCCTTTGTGGTAAAATGCTCTACAGCTACTGTACTGCTCTCACTGTTGCCAGAAAGATGAAAAGAGATCCTGACTGAAAGAGGGTGGAGTCTGTATTTACGTATCTACTGATTTCCGTGACATATCGGTTGCATGTTTCCTGTACTGTCAAAACAATATCACAACGCTTAAATGTCCAAGTCTCATGGCAAAGATTTCAAGAAAATAAAATAAAGCCTGTTAAGTATCTTCCCTCACCATGGATGCTTCTATCTAACTACGTGTTCCCTGAGGTAAAAAATTTTTTAAAAGACATGAAAAACAGGAAATGAATGAAAAGTGAGCTATGCCAGAATGCCTCTCATATTGCATGGGTAGACATCATAAATCTTTCAATTTAGACAAGTATGCTGTTTATACTTTCCAGAACAGGCTCCACTGTTGAAATGTTTAGCTTGATAAACTTTGGTTAGGGCTAATCGACTCATAACTGGACTAAGTCCTCAATTCTACCAACACAAAGTTTAGTGAACATATTTTAATATTTTTCCATTAAAAAAAATAGGTTGCATTTGCCTCAGGTTACATGTTACAGGAAACAGGAAACCAAACCTACTGAGAATTGTCTATGAGATAAAGAAGAGCCTAATGTTGCAGTTAAAAGGGTTAAATATGGGGGAGGGGGAAGTAGTAAGAGGAGAGAACAAAAGATAAAAAGATCACTGTATAAGTGCAATAATCATACGGCTCCTTTTTCTATGGCCTTGGATCAACAGTTGCTCAAATATTGTCCCCCAAAGTATACTATCTCCAAACAGTAAAAAGCCTGACAGAGCAGAGTCAGACAGCAAGGGATGTGTTCTGTCCCAGCAAGAGAAATCCTCAGCTGAATAAAGAGCAACATGCTAATAGCCAGAATCTTCTTTAAAATAATAAAGGCTCAAATAGTTACTTTTTAGAAGTCATAAAGAGCTCATAACAAAATAACTAAGCACGCATATCATCATATTAGTGTTGGTTTTTACCAAGTTGCAATAGTAGGCAAAAAGGGAGCTCTGCTTAGATACCTTCTCTGAAGCAACACTGTTGGATCGTTCAAAGCTGTCCACACTTCCAAGCCGACCTCTCATTCTGTTCGCTCCCTGAGTGAAGAGAATAAAATTCAATCGTTCATAGGGTTTGAATTTTTACTTGAAAACTATAAAAGGCAGTTGCCTCTTCATGTTAGCATTACATTGATCCTTTTGGGGTTCGCTCAAATTTGTTGGCAGTATTAACAGCCATTCCAGCATGGCAAAGAGAACTGTCTGCAATCTACTTCCGTTACTTCTAAATCATCCATTAGATAACCAGATATTCAGACCAAGCTTACTGAAGTGACTTTGGTTACAAAGTCAAACATTATTCACCCATAACATCAGTGAGAGTCCCATGAACTTGGTGTCACATACAGATAAACACCCATGTGGAAAGTACAGCACAAAAAACCACAACAGTTATAAAAGAAAATGGTTTAATACATACAACCTCCCTACAACCTAGATCATAATTTACATTATAGGATTATAATAAACACAGGTTTAAAAAAGAAAACTGCATCCTAAAATGTATGGATTTAGCTTCATTCATTATTCCATAATGCAAAACTACTTCAATAAAGTCTCTCTAGAAGACTAGATAAAAGTTTGCTTCAATATTCGTGAATTGGTTCTCAATTTTCTTTTCTCACAATTCTTTGGTGATGATCTAAGTAAAGAACCAAAGGGATCATCTCATCTATTTCTCTCTATACTTCATGTAGGGAGAAACTGAAGTCAAGTATTGAAGGAAAGAAGATGGAAAGGCTGGATAGGAACCACATCACATAGAAGGTCTTAAGAGACAAAATACAGACTAAGATGTTCTGTATAACTCTAAAACACATGGGAAAGTTCTAAAAAGAATAACTAGAAATACATCAAGTCAGTGTGACAGTGACTCTCCACAATGAAAAAATGCACAATATTTTTATAGCACTTTACAATTTTAAAGTGTGTCTCCAAACGTTTCTTGGGTTTAATTGGGAGGGGGGGTTAAGTTTCATTTTATTTTATTATTATTTTTTTCTTTTTGCGGTACGCAGGCCTCTCACTGCTGTGGCCTCTCCCGTCGCGGAGCACAGGCTCCGGACGCACAGGCTCAGCGGCCATGGCCTACGGGTCCAGCCGCTCCACGGCACGTGGGATCCTCCCGGACCGGGCCACGAACCCGCGCCCCCCCCATCGGCAGGCGGACCCTCAACCACTGCGCCACCAGGGAAGCCCTCATTTTAATTTTTAATCAAAGTGATACCTACACAAAGTTTCAAAAGTCAAACTGTGCTACCAAACTTATGATGTTAAGTGGCAATCACCAGCCCCCTCCTTCACATGCTGAATCCCATTCCCCAAAAGCAAACACTTGAAATTACTTATATCAATGCTTCTGTTATTCAGCTTACATTCCTTTTCCTTAATCTTTCCATTTTAGGCACTATCCATTGACTTCCTACTCTGGAAGATGAGACTTTAGGATTCTTACTTCATTACCCATCTCCACACACACTTCTCTCTTCCCCTCTTCTCTCAGTAGAGTTATACCACGCGTCAGTTAAACCAATATTTTGTGCTTAGATTTTTACGACCTTGTAAATACTGTTTGCACCTGAGCTACATATTTTACTACTAATACAACTCACATCTTGTACAATTTGTTCTTCATGGAGTTAACAACTACCTCAGTAATCACCAGTTTATTACTACTAATTTATTTATCATTAATCTATTACCAATAAATCTCAATATGGTCAAACATTACATAATCCATTAATTGCATATTTTTCTCTTTGAGCTACCCATTTTGGAGATCTCTGTCTTCCTGCCCCAGTCTGGCCTGGTAGCAATTTAGGTTTGCTGAATAGATGTTTCCAGTATTATCCTTCACCATCAACCTAGAAATATCCTTTGATGCTATTCTATGTTGGAATTTCTGCTTCCTTGAGCCCATGTCTTCCTCTTTTTTAGTTTACTTCGTCATTTTGGTGGGACATATACTCCAGGTGCTTTCTGAGAACAGGAGACTGGGAAGTAAATTATTTTTTCATTTACATGTCTGTAAGTGTCTTTGTTCTATGCTTATATTTTATTAATAGTTAGGCTGAATATACAATTCTGCCTGGAAACGTGCCTTCAGAATATGTAAACATTGCTCAACTGTCTTTCGGTACAGAAGTCGAATGTCATTGTGATTCCTGAGCTGTATGTGTGCCCTGCTATTTCTCTCTGGAACAGAATCTAAGTCAGTCTTTCTATTGTGCATCTTCAGAGCCCATTACATTTTGAAACATGTCCATCAGCTCTAAGAAAACTTTTAAATGATTTCTTTGAAAATTTCTGCATGCATTTTCTTTCTGGAATGCCTACCATTTGGCTTTTGGATCTCCAGATAACTTTTAACCTCGTTCTCTTATTTTCTATTTCTTTGTCATTTTGCTTTACTTTCCGGAATTTTTTTTCAACACTAGTTTCCTAGCCTTCTACTGAATTTTTCTTTTTATGTCCACAGTCAGAAAGTTGTAAGAGTTCTTTCCTGTTCTCCATGGACTCTTATATTTATGGTATCCTACCTTGTTTCACAGAAGCAATGTTTATTCTTATCTATGTATATCAATTATAGTTTTCTATTTCTGGTGGCTCCCTAAATAACAACTATATCAATCATAAAACAAACAGCTGCATCTATGCTACTGAATGCTTACCATGTGCCATGTACTATGTTAAACATTTTACCATGCATTACCCCCTTCATCCCCACAACAATTCTAATGAAGTAGGCATAGTTTTTTGGCTCAACTTTACAGATAAGGAGACTGAAGTTCTTACAGATTAGGTTGCCAATGTTTACACAGTTAAAGGACAGAGCAGCAATTTGAATTCAGGGAGTACAACTTTAAAGTGAGGTTCTTGAGCTCTCACTCAATACTACCTCCTGAAGATAGAGCTTTGTGAAAAGTAGAATTACAAATAAAACCAATTAACCTACATTGGTTAAGGGTTATTTTGCAAATGTCCCAGAACTTGATGAAGGCTCTTTCAGTTCTTCAGTTCTATACTATAACCTGACATACTTCCAGCAATAAACCATACATTTACCTGATAAATTATTGGGTTTGTGTGTGTGGAAAAGAAAAATGGGCCATGTTGCTTTCTGCTATTTTTTAGCTGCTACTTACATGCCAACCTGCCTGGTTATCTCAAACAGGTTATTTGGTCACAATAGAGAAAGCAGTCAGATGGATATCAAACAACTTCCATCATTAGAAAAACACTTAAATGACACATATTACTCATAGGAGTGTTTTATCCATGAGTTTTTCTTACACAGAAAGAAAAATAAACCTACTTTAAAATTATACTCTACCAAAATCATTAATTCACACACTTCAACAAGTGAGGACAATGGCTATTACTCTGAAGAGAAAGTGAAATGAGGACTTACTCTTCTTTTTTTATAAATTTATTTATTTTTGGCTGTGTTGGGTCTTCGCGGCTGTGTGCAGGCTTTCTCTAGCTATGGTGAGCGGGGGCTACTCTTCATTGGGGTGCGCGGGTTTCTCACTGCGGTGGCTTCTCTTGTTGCGGAGCATGGGCTCTAGGCGCACGGGCTTCAGTAGTTGTGGCTCGAGGGCTCTAGAGTGCAGGCTCAGTAGTTGTGGTGCACAGGATTAGTTGCTCCACAGCATGTGGCATCTTCCAGGATCAGGGCTCGAACCCGTGTCTCCTGCATTCGCAGGCAGATTCTTGATCACTGCACCACCAGGGAAGTCCCTTGATGACCGTTTTCTAATGACTTACACTTTATATTAGTGAATATTTCTCTTTTAGAACTATAAACATATATTAATAAATATATTAGGAAATGGTCCTCTTTTGGAAAGCTTCAATTTAAGAAAAAGCAACAGGGACTTCCCTGGTGGTGCAGTGGTTAAGAATCCACCTGCAAATGCAGGCGACACAGGTTCGAGCCCTGGTCTGGGAAGATCCCACATGCTGTAGAGCAACTAAGCCCATGTGCCACAACTACTGAGCCTACAAGCCATGTCTACTGAAGCCCGCATGCCTAGAGCCCATGCTCCGCAATGAGAAGCCTGCACACAGTAACAAAGAGTAGCCCCCGCTCACCACAACTGGAGAAAGCCTGCGCGCAGCAACGAAGACCCAACGCAGCCAAAGTAAATAAATTAATTAAAAAAAAAAAAAAGAAAAAGCAACAAACAACCAGAATACAAGACTCTGTCTTTTCACCTTTGCGCAGATAGCTTTTTCAGTTTAACTATATTATGATTTGGTAATGCATGTGTCAAGCCTTTTTGCCTTGGACCCACTTTTTAATTGCTAATGAGCTAAGCTTTAAAGCATTTTAAAAATGTATCCTATTTCATAAACAACTATAGTTAGTTAAATAAAATATTCTGACTTTTCAAAATAGCAGCAGTTATGAGCCAAACTATGACCGGAGTGTCAATTTTCTCCTATGTCACTCAGAGAGAAAAAAATAAACTGACAAGTTTCAGAAGTATGCAAAAACCCTTTACTATGTAACCTTTGATACAACATGGGTAGCTGCCAACCTTCTCAAGAAGTCCATTCTGCTGCATGTGGTACAAGTAAGACCTTGTTAGGTCTAAGACCTTGTTAGGTCACATAATTTGTGGTACTTACCAGCACTTTGGCACACAAAAGCTACAGTATCCACCTTGACCAAAACAGGTTGGCAGTGCCCTTGCTGAAAAGTCATTACAGCCATACAAAGCTATGTAAGCAGTACTTCAAAGTCAGCCATGCACGTACTGTGCAGAATGCCAAGGTACTCAGTGGGATAAAGAGCGTCACACTCTAAATACCCTTGTGTCCTTTTATAAATGACAGAGGTTTCAGAGCTTACCACTGCTGTATGTACCAGCTCATACCTACAGTGTGATATTTTCCTAATATACTGACATTACACCCTCACGGTAATATGACCTAAGCAGGTATGAGTATGCCCGTTTCACAAGTGGGGAAACAATGGCTTAGAAAAGGTAAATAGTTTGTAAATAAAGGTAAATAAATATAAAACCTGCTAGGGCCAGATCTGGAAATCGGATCCTCTGACCACCTACGTAAACGATCTTTCTACTAAAATTCTCACTGAAAACCATAGGAGAGAGGGAGAAAAGGAGGGAGGGAAGGAATGAGCGAGAAAGAAAGAACATAACTGATTTATAAATGTTGAAGATGAGGAGGTAGGAGAAGTTTATGAAAAGCTGCATTAACACACTTCCGACAAATCTTCTAGAGGCTCTTTTCCTAAATTGTTTTCTGCTAATAAAATAATAGCATTGTCAAATGACCATGCTCGCTGCAAGGCTTTTGTTAGAATTATCAAGAATCTCAATCATCAACAGAAATTACCCATAAAAGTATTTTGAGTTCTAGCAAAGAAATAAAAATAAGAACACCAGACATCACAAGTCACTGTGTCCCAATGCACTACTGCACTTGACTTTCTTGCTTTTAACACTTTTGAAGATAACAGGTAGTTATTTTGTAGACTGTATCTCAATGTGGGTTTGTTGATGTTTCCTCAAGATTAGTTCCAGGTACTGCTCCTTTGGCAGGAATAGCACAGAAGTGCCACTGTGTTCTTTGTATCAGTGGCACAGGATTTCAATTTGTCCCATTGCTGAAGATGTTCAATTTGATCATTTGATTAAGGTGGTGCCTGCCAGCTTTTTCCATTGTAAAGTTACTATTTTCCCCTTTGTAATTAATAGGTATTAATTCTACCCAGTAAACATCCTGATCATGATCAAATTTCCAATGTATTAATTTATTTTTCCTATCAGAATAGACTTCTAGTTTCCTATCTTATACAACAAGTCACTATCTGTTGCTATCATTTATTTTGATACTCATTGTCTCAGATGTCACCAGTGGAAGCCCTTCAAGGTTTTTTTGTCTTTGTGACATCCTGTTACCTTTCTTTGAGTATTTCCTTACTATCTAGAACACCACAATGCTCTGGGCTTACCTTCTACATTCCCTATAGTTCTGGAACTAGCCATTTCTCCCAGGATCATGGTTCCTTCTTAAAGAATGATATATAGAAACCAAAATCTGAGTGCCAGGGCTCCCCTGGTGGCGCAGTGGTTGAGAGTCCGCCTGCCAATGCAGGGGACACGGGTTCGTGCCCCGGTCCGGGAAGATCCCACATGCCGCGGAGCGGCTGGGCCCGTGAGCCATGGCCGCTGAGCCTGCGCGCCCAGAGCCTGTGCTCCGCAATGGGAGAGGCCGCAACAGTGAGAGGCCCGCGTACCGCAAAAAAATAAAAAATAAGAAAAAAATCTGAGTGCCAGACCTAAAATCTGGGTCATCCAACCAGGCTTAATTTATTATCTGGCACGTATAGGAAAACTGTTCTCAGCTCCTATCAGTGGACAAAGTCAGGGACCGTAGGTACACATTTACTGACACACGCATATATTAACACATATACATTACATAGAACATAATATATGTAATTCTATTGCTCAAAATAGAAAACCAAGATTCCATACTGCTACCTCTGAGTTGAATCCAACAACACAGAGCTCATTCTAATTTCCTCCCCTTTCATATTTGTAATTCCCTTCTCCCAGAATCCCACTATCCTTAAACATTTACATATTTGATCAGTTCCCTGTGTGTAACCCACCTCCACGATTGACACCTCACACTCTCCTCACGCCACTCAGGCTCCAGCCTCCCCACCCATGGGCACCATCCTTGTATTGGGCGCCTTGAATGCTTTCTCCCCTCCACTCTGGCTCTGAGCCATCCCTCTGCAGGATGTCCTCTTCACCGGCTCTCACTCCACTTCCAGAAACCAGGTTGCCCCCGTAGGCTGACACCCTCCTCACCGCACTCTGGTGTCCACATGCTGCACTGGGTCACCCCCATACAGAGCAACCCATACAGGCTCTGTCCCCCTGTGCTGAGCCACTGTGGCTTCCCTGCCTTACAGACCCAAGACATCTACATTGCTGTGTCTCGTCTAATAGCGTTAGGAGTGAATTGCTCAGGAAGGGGAAAATGAAGAGGAAGAGAAATAATTTTGCTTATTTTTAAACAGAATATATAAATTCACTGAATGGAATACACGCATGTCTGTTAACTTATACTAACTATTTTCAGCATTCCCTATCAGCTCCTAGGAATAAGTGAAAGAAGGGCTTCTTTATAACTTTATGTGGCAAATGATAAAAAGTTCTTAAAGGACTGGCCATCAATATTCTATTATTTCCCCTCTCCTATACATATATCTCAACTGCTCAAATCCAGATATCAGAGGCACCAGAATAAATCTAGATCTGAAAATGAGACTTTTGTTGAGAGATTATTTTAAATAACTGTTAACTAACTTAAAGTTATCTTAAATTTTTTTTAAAGGAAATGTTCGGTGAGCCAGTTGAGAATGAAGCAGTTAGAAAACACAGACATAATTAATACCTTAAAGAGCCTCAGTTTAATCTTACCCTTGAGAAGATATTTTCCAGGGAGCTAGTTAAGGATCTCTTAGCTTTATTTTTCAGAATGTCAAGTTTGAACCTTCCACTGCTCGTCGCATTTTCTGGGATTGTACTATTTGAAATAGTCTATGGAAAGAAAAACATACATTTTAGGTTGGAAATACTCAAGGTTAAATGAAGCTTTAAAGACAGGCTTATGGCTAAGCCACTAAAAAGCATGAGAATTCTTCTGTAGCTCTATTAAGAAGTAATAATTTAGGTTCCACATCGTGAACACACAGATTGTAAGCAAAAGAGATTAATTTTTAATATTGTAAGCAATAAAAAAGACAGAAATAAGATCTTTCCTTTATGTCTTTCCTTTCTGCTAATATATTCCTGCTGCATTTAACAAAAACTAAACTTGAGATGCCCATTTTTACTGCTGTTATTTTGATTAACAACTATAACCATCCCTTTCCAAGTTACATACTTTATATCCAAATTACCAAGGAAAACACAAAAAATTGGTTTCAAAGAACAAAGCATCTTCTAGTAAAGCTGGATTCTGCTAATGCCTTTGTTATAATTCCATTTTCATTTGTGAGTGAGTCATTTATCTTTTCAATCGACAAGTATTCACTGATAGTACTGAACTGTATGAGAATCTACAATGTGTCCACCATATGAGGTTCTCTAAATATTTTATCTTATATAGAGATAAAAAGCTACTATGTATATTACATGGTTCTTAGTGCCAGGAAGCTTCCAAGAGAGAAAACTCATCCTTTGCTTGGGGAGGAAATACGTTCACTTGTAGCAGTGACACAAAGCAACGCATAAGAATCAAATATGGAACCATGAGTTATGGGTCTCAATGGTCAGGAAGAAAAGGATACATGGGATTCAGACAGGCAGAAAAAAGGAGGTGAAGACTTTCCCAACACTGGGGATGGTGCCGGCAAAATCATAAAGGCTGGGATGCTCACGCGACAGGGTGTCAGTACAGGTGTTTGACTAAAACAGAGGGAAGTAGTGGAAAGTGGGAAAGTGAAGCTGGAGATAAAACCTTGAATGGTCTTAAGTGCTGGATAATTAGGAAGAATCACTGACCACAATTTACAAGCAGAGGGACATCACTGTGAAACTAATGTTTTGGGAAGATTTATGTGAAAGGACTGTTCAAAAATCACCTAAAGGACTGGGAAATCAGAGACTGGAAGATCAGATTGAAGGCTTCAGGACAGTCTACGCAGGAGGCAATAGAGGTCCATACTGGAGCTGGCTCCATGTGGTCATCTAAGGAGTTACTGATAAAAGAAACATGATCACAATCAAAAAGGAAAGAAAACAATAGATAGAGATGTGAGCTGGACTGGGCTCGGGCTGTGTATAAGGACTGGGTTGACTCATCATTCTAAGGCTTTGAGATGAATGACACAACGAAAATAGGGAAATCGTATTGGCACTTAGCACAATGCCTGACATAGCAGCTACTCAGTGAATACCAGGTGAATAAATGGAAGGAAGAAAGGAAAAGAGGGAGCAAGGGAGGGAAAGAGAGAGAGGCAGGGAGGAACTTAAGTATACTGACAGGAAAACATACACAATTTGTTAAAATCTCCTCTGTGATCTTGACCGCCCTCCATCATATAGAAAATGCATATCACTCCTCACATACTGCCTTCAGCCTTCTGGTCAACATGACTATCACCACCAACGACTGATTTAATCAAAGCCATGAACAGATTTTAGTCTTTATGTTTCTTTTTTTTTTTTTAACAAGATCTACTTTATTTTTTTTTACATCTTTATTGGATTATAATTGCTTTACAATGGTGTGTTAGTTTCTGCTTTATAACAAAGTGAATCAGTTATACATATACATATGTTCCCATATGTCTTCCCTCTTGCGTCTCCCTCCCTCCCACCCTCCCTATCCCACCCCTCCAGGCTGTCACAAAGCACCGAGCCAATATCCCTGTGCCATGCGGCTGCTTCCCACTAGCTATCTACCTTACTACGTTTGTTAGTGTGTATATGTCCCTGACTCTCTCTCGCCCTGTCACAGCTCACCCTTCCCCCTCCCCATATCCTCAAGTCTGTTCTCCAGTAGGTCTGCGTCTTTATTCCTGTCTTACCCCTAGGTTCTTCATGACATTTTTTTTTCTTAAATTCCATATATATGTGTTAGTGTACGGTATTTGTCTTTCTCTTTCTGACTTACTTCACTCTGTATGACAGACTCCTTATGTTTCTTGACCTTCCTATGTCATTGGACATTGTTGATCTTCTTGCTTGAACTCTTCTCCTACCTTGGTCATTCACCATAATAAATCTTTCTACCTCATTATTCCCTTTCAGTCTTTATCACTGGCTCCATTTTAATTCACTCATTGCCTGAAATGTGGGTGCTCCTCAGAACACCCTCCTTCGACTTCAAATCTGTGACAAAGTTCATAGTCTTCCACATTTATAATGTCAGCTCAAATTTTATGAGCACCAAATCCATTATTCTAATTAAATCTCACACTTCCAAAATTGAATTCTTATTTCTTATTTCCATCTTTCGCCCCGCTCTTGCCTTCTTTCTGTATTCCCTAGCTATTACATCTAATTCCTCCAAATCTGAAACCTTGAAGTGTCTCCCAGCAAGCCCCTCTCTCTTCCTAAACATATCTATCCAATCAGTCACTAAGTCCTAAGGATCATGCCTCCCAAATTGCTCTTGACTCAGTCCCTCCCTCACATCTCCAGGGCTCCAGTTTACCCTCTCTCTGAGACAAAATACATTTTTCAAGACGGAATCATTCAATCTATTTGTGTCCCAGTGTTATCTCTTGTCTGGTACATACTTATAGCTCTGTGCCAATCACACCATATTCCATATTTTAATTCATTTGATTGCATGTTGGTTTCTTCTTACAGTTAGAGCTGTCATTATTCATCTCTGTTGCCTAGTACATAGTATGCACTTGATAAATGAATCACTTCTCAAGTATTCTATTACCAAGGTCTCCTAATTTGAGAATGTGACTTCAGTCCTAACACTGTCAACCCCCTTACCCAACCAGCCACACATCTGATCCTCTCACGCTCTTACCTGAAGTCCTTTAGTGACAAAGTCTGATCTAGCGCTTAAGGCTGTTCATCATCCCACTGCTGCCTAGCCTTCCAGCCTTATTTCCCCATAATTCCCATGCAAACCCTAAAAAAAACAGTATGTCCTTGAAGGGCTCCAAGCAGTAGGTCCACTCATGGTTACAAAGTTACCACTTAACTTTGCACTTAATGTTCCTTTCTTAAAACACAATTCCTTGGGAATGTAAATTGATACATCCACTATGGAGAACAGTATGGAGCTTTCTTAAAAAACTAAAAATAGAACTACCATACGACCTAGCAATCCCACTACTGGGCATATTATACCTGGAGAAAACCATAATTCAACAAGAGTCATGTACCACAATGTTCATTGCAGCTCTATTTACAATAGCCAGGACATGGAAGCAACCTAAGTGTCCGTCGACAGATGAATGGATAAAGAAGATGTGGCACACATATACAATGGAATATTAGCCATAAAAAGAAATGAAATTGAGTTATTTGTAGCAAGGTGGATGGACCTAGAGTCTGTCATACGGAGTGAAGTAAGTCAGAAAGAGAAAAACAAATACCATATGCTAACACATATATATGGACTCTAAAAAAAAAGTGGTTCTGAAGAGCCTGGGACAGGACAGGAATAAAGACGCAGATGTAGAGAATGGACTTGAGGACATGGGGAGGGGGAAGGGTAAGCTGGGGCGAAGGGAGAGAGTGACATGGACATATATACACTACCAAATGTAAAATCGATAGCTAGTGGGAAGCAGCCACATAGCACAGGGAGGTCAGTTTGGTGCTTTGTGACCACCTAAAGGGGTGGGATAGGGAGGGTGGAAGGGAGACCCAAGAGGGAAGAGATATGGGGATATGTGTATATGTATATGTATAGCTGATTTACTTTGTTATAAAGCAGAAACTAACACACCATTGTAAAGCAATTTTACTCCAATAAAGATGTTTAAAAAAAAACCCACACAATTCTTCAAAGATTAGAAATCTTTATCTCCCCTAAAACTCCAGCTCCACCCCCCACAAAAATCTCTTCCTCTTGAATTCTTTCATTCTTTCCTCTATCCTTACTCTTCATTCCAGCTCCAAAGCAAACATGTAGCTACTTCTGTGTTCACTGAACATTCTTTTAAAAAGCCATATTGTTATACATGTACTACAATGTTCACTGCCACACTATTTACAATAGCCAGGACATGGAAGCAACCTAAGTGTCCATCGACAGATGAATGGATAAAGAAGATGTGGCACATATAAACAGTGGAATATTACTCAGCCACAAAAATGAATGAAATTGAGTTATTTGTAGTGAGGTGGATGGACCTAGAGTCTGTCATACAGAGTGAAGTAGGTCAGAAAGAGAAAAACAAATAGTAAGCTAATGCACATATATGGAAGCTAAAAAAACAGTACTGATGAACCTAGTGTCAGGGTAGGAATAAAGATGCAGACGTAGAGAATGGACTTGAGGATGTGGCGGGGAAGGGGAAGCTGGGACGAAGTGAGAGAGTAGCACTGACATATATACACTACGAAATGTACAAAGGATGGCTAATGGGAAGGAGCCGCATAGCACAGGGAGACCAGCTGGATGCTTTGTGACGACCTAGAGGGGTGGGATGGGGAGGGTGGGAGAGAGGCTCAAGAGGGAGGGGATATGGGGATATATGTATACATATATGATTCACTTTGTTGTACAGCAGAAACTAACACAACATTGTAAAGCAATTATACTCCAATAAAGATATAAAAAAATAAAATAAAATAAAACTAATAGGAATTTTAAAAAGCCATCTTGTTGCCTCTATTATATGTATCTATTTATGTTTGCATTCCCTTTTGGATTATTTGAGCTCTTCTCTGTAGGCTACGTCATTATTCACGTCTTTTTTGTCACCATTATCACATAGCTTGATTTATAAAAGGTTCTCTAGAAGTGCTTGTACAATAAATAATTAAGGAATCACTTATCACACGATATGTGGTTTGTTCTGAATAGAGTGAGATTAAGACATAACCTGAATTAGTGTTATCAAGAGGTAAATATGTCATGATTTCTTTAGATGTTGCTGCCAGTGGTCTTGCTTTACGCACATGCAGCTGGGAACACATTCTAAACCACGTGCACAAAAATATCATCCCCTAGTTTGCAGCCAGGGTAGCCGTTTCCATGACATTACTGCTTCTTTGCATGTCTGCTCTTTACCACTCAAGGCTGTGTAAGTTTTTAATGAAATAAGATGTTCATACGAATTTGAAATAAAATAATGGATTAATATTACTAAAAATGTATGTTCATTCTAAATCATGAGCATTTATTATTACTGGTTTTCTACCAAAACTCACAATTTTTTTTACATTTTAAAATCATTACTATTTTATCTCAATGTGCCAATGTTTGCTACAATTTCCTATAAAACTTCTAAAATGCTGGGGGGGAAAAATGACTATTAGGACTTAGCCCTAAAGATGAGAAGACAAAGGAAAGAAACTCCTTTTACATCTTCTGTGATATTTTGACTGAATATATGAAAAAAACAAAAATAGGTCAATTAGAAAACATCTCACCGATGGGCCTTCCCCAATATGTATGTGTGTCCTCTGCTTGGCTTCGCACAGCTGCCTCAGATGTAAAATCACAAGTTCGTTTTCCTCCTGGTCATTGACTGCCTTCATTTTCTGTTGAACAGACAGACGGAGAGCACGTTATGGCAACACAGCTTTCATTGTTTTACTTTACCCTCATTTCGTTTTACCTGTCTGGCAGACAAACGTAAGTAAAGCTAAACATTTAGCCGCTCTTAGAAACAAAAGTAACAGTGGCATTGTAGTAACTAGCCAGTAGTACAATAGTATATCTATGTTTAACGTCAGATAGAGAAATGGAAAAAGGAACTCACAGAAACAGGGTCCAATTCTCATTCCTTATACCTTACTTGTGAGGACTATAAATAATGTTACCTGAACTCGTTCAAAGATGTCAGCTTGCTCGTTATCTGTCAGGGACGAGAGATGCCTCTGTATTACCAGCTTGGCTCTTGGCGGATAGAGACCTAAGGGAAATGATGGGGATTGGTGTTAAACAGATTCTAGCCACAGAGATCAAAATGTGTATGTATGTGTGTGTGTGTATATATATATATATGTCTATATATATATATATATATGTATATATAAAATGCACTGCAGCTTGTCCCTTCACCAGCAGGCTCTGAAGTTAAATCTTTTCAAGGAGATGTGTTCCTGCCTATGACAGACCTTGGAACACTACAATAAAATGATTAAAACAAAATGGAAAACCTCCTCACCAAAATCAATGGCCCTCGTCAGTAATCTTGAAGTCAGACTTATTAACAAAAAATGTCTACATGATACCAAATCAACAGCATAACCAGATACCATTGAATATACTAACAAACTTAGCCACCCTAGAAACTCATAGGTGAATACTAGCCTTGGCCAAAATCTCTAAGCTTAAAGCTTGACATTTAAAAAAGAAAGAATAGCTACTAATATTAAAAAGTAGAGCTAGAGCTTACACAGGAAGCTCTCCCCCTCATACAGGTCTTGGTAATAAAACCAAGGCATCATTAGTTTTTGTTTGTTTGTTCTTGCGGTACACAGGCCTCTCACTGCTGTGGCCTCTCCCGCTGCGGAGCACAGGCTCCGGACGCGCAGGCTCAGCGGCCATGGCTCACGGGCCCAGCCGCTCCGCGGCACGCGGGATCCTCCCGGACCGGGGCACGAACCCGTGTCCCCTGCATCGACAGGCGGACTCTCAACCACTGCGCCACAAGGGAAACCCGAGGGTCCTTATTTGAAGTAGGTAACTAAATCTATGGCCCAGGGAGTTTCTTTAGTCCTTTATTTCAGGGGAGGAATTGCAAACAGCTTATTTGCAAATTATGCATGCCCCCTACTCCGCCTTGCATCTGATTTGCCTTTCTTCTTCTCCCAGTTTAGAGTCACTGGTGAGTGAATCAACCGATCCTGAGAGGTAAGTATACTATTTAGCCCTCATGCACGTTATTGTAGGAAAACCCGACAGAGGGTAATTGCTCCACCTCTACAGTGCTCAACATCACTTTAGTTTCACATTCTGAGGATTGGTCCTTGAGAGATGGTCCCCTTAGACACTGTCTCCTGGATTCACTTTGGTCCCCCAACATGGCTGGTGCTTTTCTTCCTGGTCTAAATGACAAAGCTCCCTTGACATAGGGATAGATGATTAGGACTCAGTATCACATATGTATCTTTGCCCTTTCTTTTTTTTTCAGTAGAGAAAGAACTCCTTATTAATGCGGCCAAAGGTACTGACAGGTGAGTCAATGACATGAGTAAGTAATATGAAATACAAATATCTAGATACTTCTAAATATCTCTAAATATCTTTCTCACTTTCTCTTCCCATGAATTTGTGTTGAATCTGAATGTGGTCCTTTTTCCAGCTTTATACTTTGTACTTAAGCCTAACACAAGTTTAGAATTCACACTGTTATCTTACCCAGATGAAAACAACTCTTTGGGAAACACTGATGCCAAGGCTTCAAGACAGCTTGGTCCTGAAAATCCTGGCTTTCTGATATTCTTTCAGAGAGAACATCAAGTTGCTTTGGAAACAGATGGAACAAGTTCAAATCCTGGTTCTGCCTCTCCTAAGCGATAAGGATGTGGCCGTTATTACCCACTATGTGTCTCGGCGCCTGTTTCCTCATCAGTAAAATGAGGATTCAAAACACTACCCATCTTGTGGGATTTCAGTACGGATTAAGTGGGCTAATATATGGAAAACACAACAGGGCCGAGACACAGTAAGTCTTATGGGAGCATCTGCATTATTGCTATTCCTTTCATTCTTACTATCAGAACACTGCCCTATCTTACGGCTCTCTTCGCCCCGATGTCAAAGGCAAGGGTAAAACAATCATATCAGAAGGTGTTATCTAAGGCCTTAGGAAAAGAAGCCCGTGTGAATCTTTTCCAGTTCACATGAACCCTTCATTTGCTCCCTTCAGATATACGCATACCTTGAAGCTGGGGAATCTTAAGTTTCACTCCCTTCATGATCTTGGAAGAGACCCTACTATTTCTGGATGTATAATGTGTATTCTTTCTTTTTTTTTTCAATTAACTTATTTTATTTATTTATTTTTGGCTGCATCGGGTCTTCGTTGCTGCGTGCAGGCTTTCTCTAGTTGTAGAGAGCGTGGGCTACTCTTCGTTGCGGTGCACAGGCCTCTCATTGCGGTGGCTTCTCTTGTTGCGGAGCATGGGTTCTAGGCACGCGGGCTTCAGTAGTTGTGGCACGTGGGCTCAGCAGTTGTGGCTCGTGGGCTCTAGCGCGCAGGCTCAGTAGTTGTGGTACATGGGCTTAGTTGCTCCACGGCATGTAGGATCTTCTGGGAACAGGGTTCGAACCCGTGTCCCCTGCACTGGCAGGCGGATTCTTAAGCATTGCGCCACCAGGGAAGCCCCTGTATTCTCTGTCTTTACAAAGGTCTCTAAAACTATAAATTTTTTTTCAGAGGAGTGTTTTTTAATATGATTTGTGTAATTTTCTACTGGTGCTTTTATCTTTTTCTTATAGATAATAACAGTCTTTACAAATTCTGAACAGCAATCTGCTCTCTCCTCATTTGTTACTGATCATTTAACTTCCAAGTAAGCAGTTGTTGTTGTGTAAAAATATTAAGATTTTATGAAGTCAAATCTGTCAATGTCTTCTTTTGGTAGTTTCTGCATTTCTGTGTCTTAATAAAGGCTTTCTTGTTTAGGGACAAAATAACATTTTTATTTTATTTGAATGATTTTAGCATTTTGTTTGTTTGCATTGAGGACTTTGATCCACCTAGAATGTATTTTGAGTAGGATAAGTGGAAGTAATCTTTGTCTCTTTGGATAGCAAATTGATCCAACACCATTTCCTGAATCACTCAGCCTTTCCTCCTCAGATTTATAATATTCTCTTTACCATACACCAAAGAATGTTCCATTTTTGTAAAGTTTCCATGTATATTTGAAAATAAGGTGCATTCTGTAAAATTATAGTTATAAATTTTAAAATTTTGAACATTACATTTAAATAGTGCTTGTTCACACAGTTGAGTGGATGTTCAATAAATACGGCTGTCCATCAATTTTCCCATGTGCCTATGATTCTCCTGCCTACTGAACAGATATCTCCATGTGCACTGACGGTGGCTCGTCCATTCTCTGCTTTGTTCTGGAGTCCACACTCTCCCCATCGACTCCAACACCTATCGTACTGATTGCATTTACGTGCTCACAAGCCTGTCTCCCACTCAAGACTCTAAGCTTCCTGAAGGCATGGTCCACATCTCAACGATCTCCGCATCCCCAGTGCCAAGCACACTGCCTGGCACGTGCTAGATGCTTAAAAAGTGTTTACCAAATTGTGTATCTTCTCTGGCACAGTAGTTTTCAACCATTTTTACTAGTAAGAGACAAGGAGAAGAAAGGGAAACTGAGTCAGGGTCATCTCTTCCTTATGCTCTTCCCCCTCCTCAAAACACACTTTAAAAAAAAAACTTGCTTTATGACATCATGTCTATTATCTGTGTGATTTTCAAACGACCCTGAAAAGCCAAGCAAGTTTCATTCTTGTTCTAAACCTTTAGGAAAAAAAGAACACATCATCGAGTGAGAAAGGAAAAAAAGAAAGACTTAAACAGTCGATATTCTGGGATGGTTTTGCCTCTCTTCATTCATTCAACAAATATTTGGTCAGTTCCCACTTTGCACATAGCAGAGTCTTAGGAACTGTGGGAAATGCAAGCTCCTCCCTTGAGTCTGCCTTCGTAGAAAAAGTAACAAAGAAAAAAGAAAGAGGAAAAAAAGCCAAGCACCTAGGAGAGACTGACAGCACAAATTTGACTGGACATGAGAAATGATTCTTGGGGTTCTCGGTTCACCTCAAAACAAAGAAGCATTCAATGACAGTAGCGAATTTCTCACTTCCCCAATGCCAAAGCAAACTTGTCTTTGCCAAGCAAACTCGTCTTTGGCAAGGCCAACTTATACTGTACCTTCAATCCTTTCACAGAGCTTATGCAAAGAGTGCATAGGGCAGGCCTCGCACAGCTTAATCTGGGTCTTGGCACTCTGCAGGGCAGCAGCCGTGCTGAAAGCCTGTTTCAGAGTCAGCATTACCTCATCAACCTACAAGAAGAAACAAAATCCAGGTCTATAAAAGTTTGCTTTCATGGTAACACATTAAAAGCCCAACAGCAATGTGAGACTTTGTTGATGCTGACTAAATATTAATAATGGAATTTTGATGACCACAGAGCAGGTAGTGAGAAAATAATGTCTCAAAGTTAGACCTTCAATTAATTATACATAAAATTGAAAACTGGATGAAATAAGACCATTTTAATGTGCATAATACTGATCTGTTACTTGAATGCTATTTTTGAATCCCACTCAGTGCTATGCTATCACAGTTAAATGACAGTCAATCAGGTATTTGGTTTTTTGTTTTTTTTTTAAATTTTATTGGATTATAGTTGATTTACAATGTTGTGTTAGTTTCAGGTATACAGCAAAGTGATTCAGTTATACATATACATATATTCATTCTTTATCAGATTCTTTTCTCATATAGGTATCACAGAATAGAGTTCCCTGTGCTATACAGTAGGTCATTGTTGGTTATCTCAGGTCTTTGTTTAGTTAAAGTACTTTATCAGATAAAGATCTCTTTGGAAGTTTTGTCTGCAATACATAGGGAGCAACAAAATAGGTTTAACAAATCACTTGTGTTAATAGGTATCTTATTTACTTTATCCTTTTGGATCATTTTTAGTGCAACAACAAGCGAACATGTGTTTAACCAAAGTTCTAGGGGGAAATGAGCCCAATAAATAACGTTGGGGGAATTCTATGAAGACTACTGGTCTTTTTTCTATGGCTTCTATTTATTATCATTTGGCTTCTGATTTGTGACACTAAGAAGTTCTGCAGTCATGCTATCTTAATAGCTGGGTCTCATCACTAGGCCAGCAGCTTGAGAACTGCCAGGTAGTTTCTTCCTTGCTCTTCCAGTGACTCAGTCAAGAAGTTGGAATCTAGCATTCTCGTTTCCTGGTTGCTTCTTTGAGGCCAACTAATAGCTCATCCTCCAGGCATTGTCAAGCCGACTTCAGGCCAGGTCTCCTCCTCTGTGGCACAATCATCAGTGTAAAGTGTGGCTTTCCCATCCACTGTACAATTGAGATCAAAGTCTAAAACCTGCATGGGGAGCTATGAAGTACCAGGGCCTCATCCAAACTAGCTCTGATATTCAAAACCATTTACCATGCTTCATAAACCATGTTTTGTTTTGTTCTGTTTTTATTGCGGTAACATTGTTTTATGACATTAAGTAAGTTTCATGGGTGCAACATTTAATTCAACTTCTATATACATTACAGTGTGCTCACCACCAAAAGTCTTGTTTCCATCTGTCACCATACGATTGACCCCCTTTACCCATTTTGCTCTCCCTCCCACCCCGGTCCCCTCTGGTAACCACCAATCTGTTTTCTGCATCTATGTGTTTGTTTTTGTCTTTTATACTCTGCATATGAGTGAAATCATACCGTATTTGTCTTTCTCTAACTTATTTCAGTTATCATAAAACCCTCAAGGTCCAACCATGTTGTCATAAATGGCAAGATTTCATCTTTTTTGTGCCTGAAAAATATTCCATTGTGTGTGTATATACATATCACATCTTCTTTATCCATTAATCTGTCGATGGGCACTTAGGCTGTTACCATATCTTGGCTATTATAAATAATGCTGCAATGAACATGGGGGTGCACATATCTTTTCAAATTAGTGTTTTTATTCTCTTTAGATAAATACCCAGAAGTGGAATTGCTGGATCACCTGGTAGTTCTATTCTTAATTTTTTGAGGAACCTCCATACTGTTTTCCATAGTGGCGGCACCAATTCACATTCACACCAACACAGATGGCCAACAGGCACATGAAAATGTGCTCAAATTCACTAATTATTAGGGAAATGCCAAACCACAGGGAGATATCACCTCACACGTGTTAGCATGGTTATTACCAAAAAGACAAGAAATAACAAGTGTTGGAGAGGATGCAGAGGAAAAAGAACCCTCACACACATAAACCAGTTTTTAAAAAGACTCTTTAGGGCTTCCCTGGTGACACAGTGGTTAAGAATCCGCCTGCCAATGCAGGGGACATGGGTTCGAGCCCTGTTCCCAGAAGATCCCACATGCCGCGGAGCAGCTAAGCCCGTGGGCCACAACTACTGAGCCTGTGCTCTAGAGCTCACGAGCCATGACTACTGAGGCCGTGTGCCACAACTACTGAAGCCCGTGCTCCTAGAGCCCGTGCTCCGCAACAAGAGAAGCCACCGCAATGAGAAGCCTGCGCACCGCAACCAAGAGTAGCCCCCACTCACTGCAACTAGAGAAAGCCCCGCGCACCGCAACGAAGACCCAATGCGGCCAAAAATAAATAAATAAATAAAATAAATTTTTTAAAATTTAAAAAATAAAAAGACTCTTTATCCCCTTCCCCTATGGGCTGGTTTAAGAAAAAGCTACCATTTAAAGGACTCAATCTACTTCTGCTTTTAATGCATGAAGAACCTGGAATAAAAAGAAACTCTATTCATCTGATATTACTAAAAGGAGAGTTCAAGCACCAAGCAGCCAGTCATCATTCAGTTATGTTTTACTATATAACCATCTTTTTAAAAGGCTTATAATTTCACAACATTCCATGAACAAAAAATGAATTATTCACAATTTGTTCTTTTATAACATAATTAAAAACAAAGATTTCTAATTCTTAAAAATAAAAGCACGGGCTTCTCTGGTGGCACAGTGGTTGAGAGTCCGCCTGCCAATGCAGGGGACACGGGTTCGTGCCCCGGTCCGGGAAGATCCCACATGCCGCGGAGCGGCTGGGCCCGTGAGCCATGGCCGCTGAGCCTGCGCGTCCGGAGCCTGTGCTCCACAACGGGAGAGGCCACAGCAGTGAGAGGCCCGCGTACAGCAAAAATAAAAAATAAAAGCACTACATGCTTTAGCGCCTTTGCATTTTCATTTCTTCTGCCTTGTGATGTATTCAAAAGCAATTTCAATCACTTATGCAGATGTTTATTTCTGTTTTCTTGTTTCTCATTTATTTAAGGCACTGAAGGGGTCAGTCATCCGTTTAGCTTTCATGTAGATTTATTATTTGCTATTTGGTAATACTGTGTGGCTAAAGGTCCCCAATGGATATAATGAACTTTCATATTTTCTTATCTATTTCTAGATGAAACAAGAGATCAATTCAATGGTGACTGAAATGTGGCTACCAATTTCTCCTAGCCATAAATATTACTAAAAACTTTATTCGACTTCTAAAATTTTTAATGTTTTACTTTTTTTTAATCTACCACTTTTTCCAGACGGCCTATAAATTCTCATATGGAATCAGAGCAACTAAAAGTTAAATTAGCATACTATGAATAACTTAATTGTTTTAGTTTAGATACAGCAACAACAACAAAATCCTAAGCAGCGTTAAAAAGTTAAAAGTAAAGGAATGGTTAAAGATAAAGCAATCATACGGAACCAAAAAGAAAGTATTCTTAGTGTGACCATCAGGCAAAATTAAATTTCCAGAGAAAATTATGAGATGGAACAAAGAAAGCCAATTTGTGACATTAAGGTGAAAATCCATAATGAAGATAATGCTCATAAACACTTATATACCAAACTTAGGTGTTTTATAGTGTTTTAGAATAAGAATCACAGAATGTGTAAGGATGGACAGGGAGAAGGGTACGCTGGGACGAAGTGAGAGAGTGGCATGGACATATATACACTACCAAATGTAAAATAGAAAGCTAGTGGGAAGCAGCCGCATAGCACAGGGAGATCAGCTCGGTGCTTTGTGACCACCTGGAGGGGTGGGATAGGGAGGGTGGGAGGGAGACGCCAAGAGGGAGGGGATATGGGGTATATGTATATGTATAGCTGATTCACTTTGTTATAAAGCAGAAACTAACACACCATTGTAAAGCAATTATACTCCAATAAAGATGTTAAAAAAAGATTACCTAGTCTAATTCTCTGGAAAACTCTACACTCTTAACCCCATACAAATCGTGGGTCTCGGTACCCTGCGTTTTTGGGGCTTTTGTTTTGATTTGTTTTGTTGGTTATACTTTCCCTGGATACTGTTGTGTGCATCTGTGGATCTGTGAAGTTCCACTTTGTCTATAAATAGTAGTCACTTCCATTTTTTTTCACACCTTTTAAACCACTTTTGGAGAAAGCAGAAATGATATGTTCCAGAAATCTCAAGGGTTGATTAAACAAGTTTAAACCACCTGCCTTGGGATATTTTACAAAAGAGGGAAGGAAGGAAGGGAGGGAGGGACAAAGGGAGGGAGGGAGGGAGGAGCACAGAGCATCTAAACCTTGCACTGTAACCCTCCAGGGCCCATCAGAACTCTATTCTATACTGTTTATCAATTCATAGCAATTGCTACAAAGAAGCAACAGAAAATGCTAGCTGTATATTTTTTGCACTCAGAGAAGATAAATCAGCATGTGTGGTTTTGCAATATTTTGTCTTTCACAACAGCCAAGCCACATCAATCATAATACTGCTTACACCTGTAATATTTGACTGTTTGTTTTACTCTAACGTCAGCTGCATGAGCCACCCTCCTTTATACAGGAAATGTACATTTAATTTTTCCTCTATCTTGCAGTTCTGATGCCTCACCATTCATTTTATGTGCTTACAGATAAAAGTAGAGTAAACAGGATTTCAAAGATTCCAGTATAGGCCCATTCTTAAGAATAATGATGCCAAAATAAGATTCTCGGGCAGCTTCAATGTAACATGAAGACATTCTCAGCCAGTCTAGTCTGTTGCCTTAGTCACAGAGCTTCTTAAGGAGGAAAAATGCAGCGTGTTCCCAGACTTTCTACTCTGACTCCGTTTCGAAAACTCATTCTACATGCATGAGGGTAAAATGAAAATACTAAAAAATACAAACAAAACTTTTAAAAGAGATTGGAAATCAGAAGGTTTTACAGTTTTCCTCTTGGTGTCGGTTATCCGGTAATCAGAGATTAACCAGCACCTAGAAAATGGCTGCCTGAAGTTCTGAGTAACACACTCCATCACTCAAAATACACTTAACAAGCAAGCCCTGCTATCCTAGAAGCTACTGGTGGATACAACAACCATAAGGACGGTCCTAACCTTGTAGGATTCACAATCCAGTGGAGTAGAAAGTTATGTGAACAAATAAATAAGATAAGGGATTTGCAGGAACTGCCGGAGATCTATGAATAAGATGTGCTGACAGCACTGACAACAAAACAACCAAAGGACTCAATTCCTGAGAAAGGGTGTTAGAAAAGGCTTCCCTAGGAGGTGATCTTTTAACAGGATCCTAAAAAATACACAGTAGCAAAGAAGGGGAAGGGGATTAAAGTCACAGCAAAGCCAAGCCAGGCCTGCTTCCCATCCAATGAAGCAGCCGGAAAGAGAATACGAAAACAGATAGAGACATACACAATCTCTTTGTATAGCAGCCAGGTGGACCCTTGAGGCTGGCACGATCAAATCCCCCACCTGACCGTATGAAAGCAGCAAGCCCTGGCTCTGGTCTCCACTGACTGGCAGACCCCTCACTCCATGCAGCCAACAGTGACCTCAGAACTTCAGAGGCATTTCTGTGAGCCCCGCCTCTCATGTACTTCCTTCATCTCATGTGTCCTGTGCACGAACCATCTGCTGCTTCAGTAGCAAGCCAAATAAAAGCAACATCACACCAGTCATCAGAGCAGCTTCTGCAGTCTGGCCTGGAGACAGCTGAGGACACAGAATAGCACGTGTGAGGACACAGTCATGAAAGGGCAAGCTTTCTGGTGAGCGCTGGAGAAGAATGAGGAAGCCCCTTCTGCCACACTAGACAATCTAGATTTTGTCCGTTAATAAGGAGGCATAAGCTGGCCCCTAGTGAGAGGATTTTGTGAGAAAAAATATAAACATAGCATAAGGTAGTAAGTGGATAGATTAAACCAGTGGCAGGGAGACTGGTTAGGACACTAATGCAGTAGTCTTAGTAAAGGAGATGAATGCCCACACTTAATTCCCAACAGAGAGGAAAAGGAAGAGGGACGGATATAAGGGACATTTCTACCTTTGAGTTTATAGGATTTGGTGAACAAGTGGATCTCGATAGTGCAGGAGAATGCATTATGGTTTCTAAATTGGAAAGTTGCGTAAATGGAACTGCCAAAACAAGAAAATACGGGATATACAACAGGTTTTGCAAAGGTTGGAGAGCAAGGATCTGCAACGTGGTGGAAGAATCAGCCTTAGACAGGAGGACGGACAGAGGAGGGAAGGAGGAGAGGAGAGCTGGGCAGGGGATGGGTGAGGAGAGGGACAAGATTACCTGACATTCTCATTTTCTACCCAACTCTTACTTGGTTGGCATTTTCCAGGGTTGTGTCCTTGGTTCTCTTTGCCTTCTCTCTTTTCCTTCCCCCTGGGTGCTCATTCAGCCCCATGCCTTCAACTATTCTTTACATAACAACTCTCAAACTTCTATCCCGAGCCCTGAACTGAACCTATAATACAGTGGTCACCTGGATATCAACAGGTGGATTTTTCACTGGTATGGCTAACTATCTAGAGTGAGAACAAAACTCAAATGGATCTCTCTTGAGCAAGAAACTTGGCGATAGAATGCTATATTCCCTAGTCAGACAGTGTCTTTGTACCAATTCATTCCCATTTCTTCATTACTTCCTCATTATTCCTCAACTCTGTGTCCACACTGGGAATGTGAAAGACAAGAGTTAGCAGGAAGGAAGGCAACGTGCATACAGAAAATGAGGAGAATGCTGCCCGGCTTACTCTGTATATGTCTAAGTGGTGTGTGTTTCCCTGGGGAAAATCATTGTGGGAGGATTTTATGTCTGAGCAAATGCTCTGCTTCAAAGAATGGTAATGCATATATCTGAAGGTTTGTGTTAAAATGGTTAGGAGAGATAACACAAGTGGAAGAATATGTAAAACGTTTTAGGGGAAAACATCAACATATTTTTAGTCACTCAGATCTATTTCCAATTTTGCCTTACATATTTCTCCTTAAACTCTAACTGCTCCCATTTAAGGGTCGGGGGGAGGTATAAGAATGCTGCAAAGTAAAACTGACTTCTAAATTCCACAGAAAGAAATTGAAGGCTAAAATGCGACCATAAAGAAAGTATTTTTAAAATGAGGACAGGGGCTGATGGAATAAAAAGGAAAAAACAAAACCGTTCTCTACCCTGAGGAAATAAGCATTATCTACTCTGAGATGTTATAGCAGTTGAGAGAATGAGAGGTCTTCCCTATCTTCTTACATGAGCAATGGAAGGAGTAACAGCTCTTCTCCTATTATTAGGCTTTTCCTACCTTTTAAAAATACTCCTGGTAACATTTCCAGATTTGTTAAACTCAAGAAAATCGCCTAGGCTTAAAAATTACCAGGACAAGTTGTTTTTGTTTTTCTGTTGTGGTGCTTTTTCAAAGGGCAGAAACCTATTTCTAGACACGCTCTTCTTTTTCGACGGATGGCCGTTCTGTGAGGCTTGGGTTCATCAGAGACGAGTCTCCCATCAGCCGGACGTGTGGGCAGGAGCCCATGGACAGCAGTCACCCCACTTACCAGAGATTCGCTGGCACACTGGAACACGTAACAGATATACTGGCTCAGCCCGGGTTCCGGCAACTCCCGACAGATAAAGCCAAAGTGATCAACATGCTTTATACCCTAGAGAAGGAAGAAGGGCAGTGTTATGGGATTATGTCCTTTTAACCAACACTATAGAAATAGTTCTGTGCTTTCACACTTCCATGAATTTCTCCTTCACAGCACTGTGACAGGGGACATAATGCCAGAGCAAACTTATTCGGTGGTCTTTTGATACATAAAATAAAGGGTGAGACCAGCTCAGAGTTTTTTTTTTGTTTCTGGCAAACACTCTGTGACTCAGGGCCACAAGAGGAAAAATATGATGGCATGACCCGCTGTCTCTTGTAATAAAAACCTCTACTCAGTGTTTGCAAGTAATGGAGTTTTCAATTTATTGGTCATCTTTGAACGGGCAGTCTGATGATTCATTATAAACCCTGTTCTTGTTTATATGAGGCTAAGAATCATTAAAACTGACAATGTTCTAATTAAATGGCATGCCATTCCCTAAAGCATGCATTAAAAATACCAGAATGTTTGTCTATTGATAGACATTCAAGGAGCCACAACTGTTAGAAGATGAATACATTAAAGAAATTATTGCAGATGTCAACTACCCAGATTCACAAATCTGTACTTCCTGAACACAGGCTAAATAACCTCGGCTACACTTAATACAAAATTCTGAATCATCTGAGAATTTCGATCGCCCTGAATACATACACACCAATTAGTAGACAGCACCTTGTTATTTTAACAGAAAGCACAGTACTTTGAAAAGTCATGAAGACAAAAAATTTGAAGTTGTCCTGCAATCACCTGAATCCCAGAGAAAGGAAAACAGACTTTGGAATCAGACAGATTTGTGCTTCAATCTTGGTTCAACCAATCTACCAGGTATGAGATATTGTGCTGCGTTGCTAAAAAGTATCTCTGAGGTTCCATTTCTCATCATAAAATAATAGTAATGGCACCTATTCTAAGAAATTTTTCAGATTTAGAACTAAGAAATATCTTAGTTCCTGGCATGTTTGGTAAACAGTAACAACTATTCTTGTAATAATAAGCTCAACCTACCCAATGGCTATGGAAAAAGGAAATCAACTGTGATAAACAGTAAAAAAGTCAATAAGGAGGAATGAGGTTACAATCCATGAGGTGAAAGTAAATTCCATCTGATACAACTCATTCGTGATTAAAGAATATCTTTTACTAGCTTGGTACTAAATGGGAAAAATGCACAGGACCTCATTAGCTCAGCAAGTTTTCGGGCAGTGGTAATGTTTCCAGTAAAGAAAACCATTCCCTTATTCCTCATGCTTGCGAGGGACACAGCCCTACCGATTCTGAAGAAAGAAACATTTGTAGGTGTGCATGTGTTAAAAAGCACTCCTGTTCCCAAATGTGGCCACCCTCTATCAGTACAATTCTGTGGAAAGAAATAACAGGAGTTGGGCCACTCAGTGAGAAGCAGAAAGTTAACCTGACAATTATTCTGATCAAAGGCCTTTGCACAAATTTTCCTCATATTTTTGTTTGATTCTTCTTCTGAATTCTTAGAATACAAAGCTTGCTTTAAAAAAAAGGAAAAGCAAAAATCTTGTTTGAACTGCCAGATTTATACATTTGGTGTGGCTGGTTCTTTTTCTTTCTTTCTTTCTTTTTATTTTCCTTTATATGTTCAACGAGCATTGCTAGTTTTCTTTCTGGGAGAAACATTGCTAGTTTCTTTCTGGGAGGGGGGAGGGGGGAGAGGCACGGCCTTTTCAGATGACTCCTCTTGCTCTGGGGAACAGGAAGTACACTGGTTTGTACACCACTCTCTCCCCAACACTTGGCATAAGGCCCAACATGTAGAAGCATTCATTCAACATTTATTGAACACCTAAGCGTCAAGCTGTGTCTTAACACATCTTATTCTCTGATGCCCTAGAGCAGCGGTCCCCAACCTTTTTGGCACCACGGACCAGTTTCACGGAAGACAATTTTTCCATGGATGGGGGTGGAGGGGGCAAATATGGTTCAGGCGGTAATGCAAGCGATGGGAAGCAATGGGGAGCGGCAGATGAAACTTCACTCCCTCGCCCCCCCCACCCCCGCTCACCTCCTGCTGTGTGTCCCGGTTCCTAACAGGCCTTGGCCCGGGGGGTTGGGGACCCCTGGCCTACAGAATAAGACACCTGCCCTCACAGAGCTTATGATCACGCGGGGACCCCCAGGAAACATGTAATTACAAGAATGCTTAATAAATACTTCTTTTAGTTAAAGTGAATAATCTTTCTATCACATTTTTTGTCCTTTAAGTAGGAATTTAGAAATTTGCAATATATTCTTCCTCTAGTCAGATGCTGCCTCTCTAAACTACTAGAGTAGAAAATTTTTATGTTCACAATATAATTTTATGTCTCCATATAACAGAACAAATATTGAAACAAAATACTAGAAGTGAAACCACATCAGCTGAGGGGGAGGAGAGTAATTAACAAGATGTACAAAAGCTTATCATTTTCAAAGGGAAGAACATCGGGATATCATACCTATGGCAATGCTAACTCCAAAATTAAAACTTAAAAACAAGAAAAAGTCAGTCTATTTTTCAACATTAAAATATAGGAAAGGGCCTTGGCAAGATCCAGGTCCCTGAAGGTATACCTAAGGTACATTGCTAGGAAAGAAGTTACTGCTTCTCTATTCCAGGGACCTCCTCAGAGGCATCCTTGCATTTTTAACTTTCCCATATTCAGCTTTAGGTACTCCCTCTATTCCAACATCTTCGGAAATTCTTTCTAGGTTTGCCGTATATTTAGGTAGCTCTAACAATTATATAGATATTCTAAATTATTACTATGGTACTTGGGACACTACTTTATGCCTAATATGATCTTGAACACACATAGTTGTATAGATTATTTTTTAAACTTTCAAATACGTAATATGAAAATTAAAAATAAGTAAAAGGACAAAGATACATATCAAAACCTTCTTTTCAAACTTTAGCATTTACATTTATAAACTTGAAAGTACTAGTTCTTTTTTTTACCTACTACAGTATAAAGAGCAAACATGACTCAGTGATGCCCACAAGACCTACTGCTCAAGATTCTGAGGAACACTAACTGTGAAGATATTTTCTAAAGAACTCACCACCCCAAAACTTCCTTCCATCCCTTTGATGAAGTGACACCAGGAAACAGGGTTGATGAAAGTGAGGACAAGATTATGATAATGAGGAACCTGGACAGGATTTTCTTATTGGCAGGGACCCAAGCACATGAACACTCTTAGTTTAAGACAAATCTACTTAAGAAACGCTTTTAAGAAGAAAATCTGAAGGGGTTTAAGCCCAGTTATTTTGTTAATTTAGAAACAAGCTTTAATTGGTTTCTTCAAATACTATAATCTACTTCAATACATACCTGGGAACAAGAAGAGATATCTTTAAAATTCTTTTCAAGCACAAGTGATTTAGTGTCTGGACTGATAAGGTTAATCTCAAACCGTCCAACCTTAAAAATAAAAATATTCCAATTAATTTCAACTTATCAAGAACCTAACATATTACTTTACAGTTAAATATTTGACTAATAATACAGATTCAAATGCTGTATCCCAGACATACATATTCACACGTGTGTCAACATCCAATCCAACCAAATCTACAACCCCAATTATCAGCTGTCTGAAAACATTTCTTCCTTTCATCTAGAAATCATGAAAGTTAAGTTGGTCTTAATTTACAAGAAACCATTTTTTTTCCAAATTAGAAATCATTCTTTTCAAAAAAATGCAACCTTTCCACACCTTATGTTTTCTAAAAATACTAATTATTTAATTATAATTTATAATCATACTTTCTCACAAATGATCAACAGAAAGATATACTTGCAATTGGGCAGATAAATTTTAAAAATGTTTAAATAAACAACCATTTAGAAAAAAGTAACAACATGGACTCTGGCTAGCTAAGAAAAAGAACAAATCCAGTAGCCCAAACAAGAGAGGAAACTCAGTTAACATATCACCACAGAAAAGACTATAGACACTTTAATTACATGCCTAGAGTTACCAAGAACAAAACAGAACAAAACCACCATGAACTTCTGATCAAGCAAATATTACATACTGGGACTGTTTACCAAGGTACACTGTGCAACTTCCTTCTCAGGGACTCTTTGCAACGGGATAAAAGGGCAGTCACTCCTTTTTTCAAGAAAACTCAAATCTGAGGAAAACCCAAATTAATCTTCAAAGCTGAGGAGTAATTAAAGAATCTCTACAGGGCATTGTTAAGAATTAAGTTCTTTTAAGTGGAACTGGACATTTTTAAAAACTACTTTTTAGAATTAAGAATCATCTTTTACACTTATAATACAGCTTGCACCAAATCATTTCAATAACTGGTCTAATAAATTATCAGGCCTATGATGTTTCTTTAACCGTCTCTTTTGTATGACAGAGTAAATTGGTGTATTCTCATCTGAAAATACACCTATGAGTCTCTGGACTTTTCTTTTTTCTCTCTAGAAAATTCTTTCTCCTTCATGAAGATTCACACGCTCCCAGATTCACATCTTCAAACCCTTCATAAGACTGACTTTCTGCAGTCATTTAAAAAAATAACATTTATTTAAGAATCAACCTAAGGCAAATGCTGGTGATGCTAAGAGTAATCTATTCTTATTTCCCCAACAACTTTCCGTGATGTACTGAAAGTGCATCTCTCTTCCTCTCTCTTCCCTGCTCCCTTTTTTCTTACATTCCCCGTCTGCCTCTCACCCCTTCACAACTTTCCTTTGTTTGCTTTCTCCACCTGCCTTATCTGCTTCCCAAGGGATATGACAGAAAGGTTGGATGCTTGCAGAGTGAGGACCAGGGAAGAGCTGGCCGCCCGGCTGCTTCCGTCTAGCAAAGAATGGGGAAACACCCCGAGAGCACGCGGCCAGGGCAGCACCTGAAACAGCATCGTTCTGTTCTTCTCCGAATCCGAGGGCTGGACGTGGCTGGGCGCGCTGGCATGCCTCCTCCGCGGCTGCGTTTTCTGGCTGTTCTCCTGAACTTTCCTTTGCAGGACACCGGTGACGCTGCTGCACCGAGACCGGAACTCCTGCTGTTCATCAAAGCCACAGTCTTCCAAAATCCGCTCAGGGAAGCAGACTCGAGAGCTGGACGGCCCAGGCTGGCTGGGCGCCGCGGGGAAGACGGGGTGGGTGTCGTTGACGCCATCCCCTTCCTCGGACAGAACGTCGGCGGGGGAAGTGGGCGTCTGGGCCTCCGACACCGCCGGGTCCTCGCCGGCATCCGCGACGCGCGGCTCGCCCTGGACCCGCAGGCGCTGTCGCTCGTGCAGGCTGAACTTCTCAATGCAGTCGTCGATGAGGCTGGACGGCGCCTTCTTGTGGGTCACGGTCACCTTGCCACAGTACAAGACCTCGAACTTCTGTGAGTTGTAAAAGGCGTCCTCGTTGTCTTTGCTGGGTTTGGCATCCTCTTTCATGGCAGCTTTCGATAACTGCCTTATGCTGCTGATAACATCGGGAACCTGGAACAGAATTCAAAAATCCTCACTTCAGTTGAATATTTAGAGATCATATATGTTTACCTAGACCTGTTATTATCACAGAATGCACGCTCATCCTAAATGATAAAATAAAGAAAGTAATAGATCCTACATAAGATAAAGCATAAACTTAAATTACACTATCGGACATAGTGATTTAAGGATAAGATTGGAATTTTATACCACTTTTATACTTTCCCCTTTTAAATGTATTCGTTTCCTAAAAACAAAACCATGAGACTATACAGGCCACTGCAACCTTTAATAAATCATCATAACATAACCTTTGAGTACTTTAAAAATGTATTATAAGAGATCAAAAGGTTAAAAATTAACTTTAAATATAAAAAATAAAGTGTAACATGCTAAGGTTCCAACCACGACTGAGATAAATAAATTATTTAATTAAATTATTATGAGCCTCAGCTGAAAGGAACCAAAGCTTCAACAATGAGGCTAAAATCAACTTTCTGGATGAAGAGGTTAAAATCCAGACACCCCTCACCAGCATTTAGCCATCAGTGAAAATGCAAATATAGACCACAGGAAGATACTATTTCATTATCTATTAGAATGGCTAACATCAAAAAGTCCAGGGGCTTCCCTGGTGGCGCAGTGGTTGAGAGTCCGCTTGCCAATGCAAGGGACACGGGTTCGTGCCCCGGTCGGGGAAGATCCCACATGCCACGGAGCGACTGGGCCCGTGAGCCATGGCTGCTGAGCCTGCGCGTCCAGAGCTGTGCTCCGCAACAGGAGAGGCCACAACAGTGAGAGGCCCGCGTATTGCAAAAAAAAAAAAAAAAAAAAAGTCCAAGTGGGGCTTCCCTGGTGGCGCAGTGGTTAAGAATCCGCCTGCCAACTCAGGGGACATGGGTTCGAGCCCTGGTCCAGGAAGATCCCACATGCTGCAGAGCAACTAAGCCCATGCGCCACAACTACCGAGTCTGCGAGCCACGACTATGGAAGCCAGCGCGCCTACAGCCCGTGCTCCGCAACAAGAGAAGCCACTGCAGTGAGAAGCCCGCGCACCGCAACAAAGAGAAGCCCCCGCTTGCCGCAACTAGAGAAAGCCTGCACACGGCAACAAAGACCCAATGCGGCCAAAAATTAATTAATTAATTTGAAAGGCCAAGTACCCGCCAGGATGTGGAGCAACAGGAACTCTCATACACTGTGTGCAGAAATGTAAAATGGCACAGATACCTCAGGAGTTTGGCAGCTGCTTGGGAGTTAAACATAGATCTCACAACCCAGTCATTCCACTCCTAGAGATTTAGGTGAAAGCCCTGAAAACATATGTCCACAAAAAGACTTGTACACAGGGCTTCCCTGGTGGCACAGTAGTTGAGAGTCCGCCTGCCGATGCTGGGGACATGGGTTCGTGCCCCGGTCCGGGAAGATCCCACGTGCCGCGGAGCGCCTGGGCCCGTGAGCCATGGCCGCTGAGCCTGCGCGCCTGGAGCCTGTGCTCCACAACGGGAGAGGCCACAACAGTGAGAGGCCCGCGTACCGCAATAAAAAAAAAAAAAAAATTCATAGATGCCTTAGTCACGATACCCCAAAACTGGAAACAACCCAAATATTCATCGACAAGTGAATGCTCACTAATTGTCAGGGAAAACCACGATAAAATATCACCTTACACTTGACAGGATGATTATCATCAAAAAGACAAGATATAGCAAGTACTGGGGGAGGATGTGGGAAAAAGGAAACCCTTGTGCATTGTTGGTAGGAATGTAAATTGGTGCAGTCACTATGGAAAACAGTATGGAGGTTCCTAAAATATTAAAAATAGAACTACCATATCATCCAGCAATTCCACTTCTGGGTATATATTCAAGAGAAATAAAATCACTCTCTCGAAAAGATACCTGCACCCTCATGTTCATCACAGCATTATTCACAATAATCAAGACATGGAAACAATCTAAGTCCACCTAAGTGTCCGTCAAAAGACGAATGGATAAAGAAACTGTGATAAATATTATTTAGCCATAAAAAAGGAAATCCTCTCATCTGGTTTTCTGCAATAATCTTTTAATTGGTGTTCCTTGCCCCCTTCAATCTACTCTCAGAAGTAGAAAGGATCCTTTTTAAACTTGTCATGTTGCTCACCTGCAAATCCTCCAAGCTCCCCATTTCATTAAGAGTAAAAGACAAAAATCCCTACAATGTCCTACAGGGCCCTCGCCCTCTGCATTTGACATACATATAGATTAAATGTGCACTGTGGCTACACATCCTCCATGTGACCTTTAGACAGTCAACCTGGATTTCATCTTTTCCTTTTCACCTCGTTTCCTCTGACCTTACTCCTCCCAGCAACCCTCTCTCACTCACTCTGCTCCAGCCCCACTCGCTTCCTGGCTACTCTTTGAACATGCCAGGCAGACTCCTCCCTCAAGGTCTCTGAACTCCAAGTCCGCCCTCAGATAACTGGACGGCTCCCTCCTCATCTCGTTTAAATCCATGCTCTAACGTCACCTTGTGGCAGCATCCATCCCCTAAACCAAAACACACATACACATACACACAGAGACACACTCTGACACAGCCAGCATTCCCCTGGAATTTTCCCCCATTTTATTACTCTCTATAGCACTCACCTCTTTTAACATTCTGTGTAATTGATTTGCTAGAATGTAAGCCCTAGGAGGGTGGTGATTTCTGTCTCTTTTCCCACATTTTTTCCTTGTATCCCCAAAGCCTAGAGTAAGTCCTGGTACAAAGTAGATCCTCAATATGTGGACTGCAGGGAAAAGACATTTTTTGGTAATTTCTACCTTTGGAAAAGAGAGAACATCTTATATGCAGGGTTGCTTCACATTCAGACGTACAAGGTATTTCTTCAAATATTCTAGCACCAATTCGAAAACCAGAATTTCTTCTCTTTCACATAATTCTTTGGGATATACTGCCAGAACATTCACAGTTTAAAAATCACAAGACTTTCAGCTTGCTAGTAGAGTATTTCCTATGAAAGAATAAAGTCCAAATGCTATAGTTTCAATGACTCACCCCGAACATTTGACATATCTCCAGGGAAGTCAGATGCTTTGTACTAACACATGATCAACAACCTTAGACCTCTGTCATTTTATTTTTGCCTTAGTGTCTGACAAGGGCCAAAGCTATGGAGACTGACCTAGACATTCAACCCTGAAAAAAGTACAATGATTCTAGTGGGTTAGGCAAAACCCTAAAACAGATGGCTCCCTCCTTCCTCACTAACCATATTTCATTAAATACTCTTCATCTGATTTTACAACACTAGTGCACCTAAATTTCCAAAGTGTCTCTATGGAGTGCAGAATAAGAAATATTATCTGTAGGATTTTTTTTGAACCTGCAGAATTTTGATCTTGTCACAAATATTTTAATGAGTATTAGGGTTAATTCCATCAAGACTGAAAATAAAGTCAGTTGGACCTTAGTTGTATCAATTCCTCTATATTATAAGTTTGTACTTTTTCTCATTGAGAGCTGTTATGTGAAGAACTGATCAGTGGCTGAATTCCTATAGTCTCACAGGACATCTCCCTGTGACCACAGGTAGAAGCTCAATAGCTAAATATAATTCAGTTAATGACCCAGTTCATAGAAGCAAAGCTTATCATCTTGACTAAACTGAGTAGGTAATTTAATCTTCCAATAATTTGAATTGTTAACTGCACCATAAAACATAGATTCTAGTTGCCTTTAATATCTTCTCTTAGGTCATGACTAAACGCAGCTTTCAATGACCTGCAAAGAGGCTGGCCTGTGAAACTGATCTAACAACATTCAGCTCTGTTTTTGCTTATAAGTGGAAGACACACATGTAATTAACATTATACAGCCCCTGCCTACACACTCAGAGCCCATACCAGAAGGGATACACTGATGAAGAAAGGACAGTAGAATATCCACAGTGGGAAAATGAGTTATCAGAGAACCATGAAAACTTTCTGAGACATTTATTTGAGATCAGTCAGAAGCAACACAAGAGAAACACAAAATCTCTATCCAGGGGCTTCCCTGGTGGTGCAGTGGTTGAGAATCTGCCTGCCAATGCAGGGGACACGGGTTCGAGCCCTGGTCTGGGAGGATCCCACATGCCACGGAGCAACTGGGCCCGTGAGCCACAACTACTGAGCCTGTGCGTCTGGAGCCTGTGCTCCGCAACAAGAGAGGCCGTGATAGTGAGAGGCCCGCACACTGCAATGCAGAGTGGACCCCGCTTGCCGCAACTAGAGAAAGCCCTCGCACAGAAACGAAGACCCAACACAGCCAAAAATAAAATAAATAAATAAATAAAAAAATTTTTTTAAAAAATGCTTCCCTGAAACCAATTCAGGAGTTTGGGTTTAAAAAAAAAAAAAAAAATCTCTATCCAGTACTTGCACATACACAAGACATTTTGGGAAAACACTATTCTCCTACAGGACAGTGTTAACTGACATATATTTAGATTTTGATTTAGATGTGTTTTTGAATGAATTTGACTCCTTGCATGTATCACATCTTTCAACGTCTTTTTTTCTCTTTACCGTTAATGCTATAAGCTCCTAAGTGAAAGACTGAGTGGTGATTTTGTGTCTTACTAGAGTTCTTCCATATGACCACTGGGAGAGAATTCTGTGCTCAGAAAAAACTGAGTGACAGTTGTCAGCAAACAAAAATATACAAATAGTGAACAACCACCTAGAACCCTGATGAAAGCTCTCCAGGATTGAGATGGGGTTAGTAAATTCCTGTTGATAACACAAGAGAGATCTGGCACTCCTCAGAATAGAGAGCTGAGGCTTTCCACTCTGCTCAGTGCTCATCCCAACTAGGAAGTGAATGTGTGTTGCAAGAATGTCTTCAGGTGCTAGGAGACACCTCAAGCTACACGCTCGGGGTTCGTCCTCTGGTTATTAGTACTCTGGCTACGAATAATGCCACTGCTTAGAATCTGCCTCCGTCTCACAGAGTCTGAGGAAAATTCAATGCCAATT